AAAGGGCACTGGCACGCTTTCGTTTTTGAACGTCTCGAAACAGCTTTATTCATATCTACGTTTTTGCCTCTATAACGTTCGCCTCGATCGCACTTCAAGATCTTCAGCCTTCCGGGTTTTTTGTGTTTCGAAATAGTAAAAAAGAAACCATTCAGAATTGCCGTACTTTTTGCATCCTTAATAGCCTCCACATCACTAATAAACAGCATAGTTGTATTGAAAGCGGAACGGTAATCAACACCATCTCCTCCAAAATCTTCTAAAGACACCTGCAATGTATTTAATAATTTTAAAGCATTTAAAATTAATAATAAAAAAAATAAAAAATAAATAAAAAAAGGATGTCCGGCCGGTCGAACCGGTCGGACCGGGTTACAACCGGCCGTCGCGGCCGGACACCAAGAGGGTCGTACGACCGGTCCGTTTGTACAACCACCGGTACGTACGGCACCCAAAACCGGACGGCCGAGAGTGTGTCCGGTCGAACCGGCCGGACGTGTGTTAAGCCGTCCGGTCCGGTCGGCCGGACATCACCGGTGCCGTGCGGTAAAACGGGTCGGTCGGTTTTTTCTTTTTTACCTCCGAGCTGGTCGACATCTTGCAGACACAAAAAATAAAAAAGGCAAAATCGTTCAAGGAGGGCGGTGACTAGTAATAGGGGGCGGTAAATAGTAATGCCCAAAAAAATGATTGAAATAGATTTTTGGACAGGATGGAACAGGCCACGTGGTAAAGTAAGAAATCTGGTTGAGCCCTCTCCTCCTAAATGTAAGTAAATGGGCCCACAGAACTTGTGTGTAGTCTTATCCTCCTAAAGGGTCCAACAGCAAAGAGCCCAACAGCCCAAGGTCATGTATGGGGTTTAGGTGAGAATGTTTTCAGCCTTATATAACCATCATCTTCTATTCCATATAGATACCTTCTCATTTTATATATTATTTTAGTTTCTTTTATTTTTTTATTTAAAAATAACCCATTCCGGAGTAAAATAAAATAAACGTATGTTACTAAATTTGCCTCCAACTATTATATAAAGTACTCTAATATGTAGAATTTATGTTGAACATAAAATAAAAAGGAGAGCTCAATTGATTAACAACAAAATTAGATTTTAAGGCAAATTTATATGATGAGTAAGTATCACTTAATCATGCTTAGCAAGTTCATGTTTTGACATAAATAGTTTATAATTAAATTGGCATAAATAAGATATCATACCTTTAAAAAATGTAAAAAATAAAATACTTTTAACGTAAAAGTACTTTTATACTATGAATTTTTGCTCAATAAATATAATAAATTAAACTTGCCTCACGTAGACATGGCCAGTCAACGGGTCGGTGGGCCGGCGGGCCTCCCATGATGACCCTTAGCCGGCCCGCCAAAAACCAAGGGTCGGGTCTGTCGAATCGGCCCGGTCTCAGACCGCCGGACCAAAAAAAAAATGATGGAGACGAGGCCGCTTTGACATTCTTGGATAAGTTCGACCGGCTCAAGATCTAGTTATCGTATTATTTGCTATCTTTATTATTTTT